CTGGCTAAAGACTTAGAAACAAGACTAAACATATATGATGCAAGAAAAAAAAAAAAAAAAATAAAAAAAAAAAATAAAAGTGTAAATTTCTAGTGATTGGCATATTAAGTTAGTTTTATTTTACAAATTAAACTGCACATGCATATATAAATGTACTGGGCACTTGACGTAGTGTAATGTTTGGTTTGGCTTGTTTTGGTTGTATGGCATATCAATCTCAATGGGTTATTTAATGCTGATAAAATTTTTATTGTTGGTAATATTTTTCTTTTTTTAAATCTATTTCTGGTAATATTTTCCCTTCAAAAATTCTATTTCTGTTAATAATTTTCTTTCATACACACACACATATATATATATATTTTTTTTTTTTCAAAATATATTGCTGGTAATATCTGTTTTTCAAAAATGCATTGCTGGCAATAAATTTTTTACAAAGTATTTCTGGTATTAGAACCTATTTTACAATTTCATAGCGATTTGACCCCAGTTACAATTCCATTGAATAAGGTTTTGCATCTTGATTATGTATTATGACAGTGTAATGGTTAGGCAAGCTTGTCTAACTAGAACAATTATGACTGAGTAGTGTGCTAGATTCTCACTGGGTGCCACATCTAAGCTATGCTTAGAAAAATACCATATATATATATATATATATATATATATATATATATATATATATATATACACACACACACTACTACTCTTCAAGTCCTATAGACTCTTGGGGGAAAGGGGGTCACAGTTCTCAATAACAATAGACATTGTTGCTATCGTTACTCTAGCAAGAAGGTCTTTTATGGAATGAAGTCACTAGCCCAATGCACAACTGGTTTTGAGTTGTCATTTTCCTAAGCTGGTTGCCAGCCAAGGCTGACTTGGTATTTAATCCATATGGAGGGGAAAGAAGAAATGGATTCATACTATTTCCCAAAAGTATTTGCATGTAAGTCTCCATACATTGTCTATTTTTCTTTCACTCTCTTTTCATTTTTCTCTAGCTTTCTTGCTTACCCTCTACCTTTCCTCTTTCATTTCTATATGTTGTAGCATAGCTACGGACGATAATGGGTATGTCCCCATTCATGTAAATACAGTAGTAGATACTGTATGTTGGTCTGCAGTTGGAGATTCATTGTGGAATTCACTTGACTCACTTCTAGCAGTTGACTACTTCTATGCACTGCTAGCGAATCTTATATGTGTTGTTCGTGTCCTAAGTATTATTGTTCATTGCCAACCTGCATTTGATTATTCTATTCAGTAACCTTTTCTAGGTTACAACACTATACCATGTCTACTTTCCTTTCAATGTAACAAACTCAACTTGAACTTGGATCTTCTATTTTTCACACTGCCCACACATCTAATTATAAATGTATTAGGTTGAGTTTAGAATAGTTTCCATTGTTTTTGGTTATCAACTTTATTCTTAAAAAGGAAATACAATTATGTTTCATTTAATTACATATTCACCATTATTTGTATATAACTTTTTGTGGCTTATCAGGCAGATCTTCAATATCTTTTGAGTGAAATTCTGCTGATTTTGATGTGAAAAAGTTTTCCATGAACTCTAGAATGCAATTTCACTCACAAGTGGGTGTTGAACAAACACAAATGTACCTGAGCAGGTGTATGTGACAGCGATTGTCTAGCTACCCTAGAAGTCAAGCTTGCTTGGAAATTATAAATGCTCAATCTCTGACATTGCACATTATTCCCCTATGAATATATGAAATTTTAAACAAATATACATTAAATTAGTAACAGGAGTAAATATTGTTTGGTTCACACTCTTCCCTGACTATTTTAAACAGGAGTAGGGGGTTATCCCTTGATTCCTGTTTAGGATTTGGTTTCTGATTCCTTCAAAAGTTTTTACATTCCCTTTCATCCCCATCAGTCACTTGCGTCTTAGTGGAATTATTGCCTTGCTTGGGGTGAATCGATTAAAAAATATGGTAGAGAAAAGAGAAATAATAATTGATACTTATCAAAGGGCAACGATAAATGATATTGGATCATTTATTCATATTTGGGAAAGCTGGTCAGGCTGAGAACTTTTGGGTATTTCTGTGTGTGTGTGTGTGTGTGTGTGAGTGTGTTTGTGAGTGAGAGAGAGAGAGACACACACACACCTCAATTCCCTTGCCTAACTATATCTTCTTTAAGTATTTGTCTGCCAAATGAAACAAAAAGACATTTCAAAAGAGATGAACATCAAACTTCTCAAATTGTTTTAAAAGATGTCCTCTTAGGTTGTGTCTAAACATAACCAGGACGAGGTGCCTTGTCAAAACTGCAGATAATTCTTTTGGGAAATTGAAAAAAAAAAAAAAAAAAAAAAAAAATTTTTTACAAGCAGTGATGATGGATTACATTCTTTTGTTGAAAGCCTTTGATGTATGCGAGAGCAACAGTCACAATTGGGTTTTAGGATCTGAGCAGTCAATTGGTACCAAAGAATGAAGGCATCACTGCCAAAATCCAAGACTAATTGACCACGTCAAACAAATTTCAGAGGTCCAGAGATTTACTTGTACTCAACAAGTGATTTAAGCAGGACTCAAGATTAAGGTCATCCTGTTATTCTGGGAATGACACAACAATTGTTTGCAATGATTAGTTAGGCTTTTTAAAGCAATGCTGGGACAAACAGTGTATTTGAGACATAATTTTTCATTTTTTTGTTAAATCATTTCACCCCAAGCAAGGCAGTAAAGCCACTAAGATGTAAGGGTTTACAGAGTGTTAGAGAATACAAGGAAAAAAAAAATGACTATTAAGGAGAGAGAACAATAAAAGAAGAATTGAGAAGACAGATGATAATGATTGACATTGCATTCAAATTTCTGAAGATCAAAGTTGATTGGGAAGCAAAAAGCCAGAAGGGATTTCTGCAAGTGAGAAGTATAAGAAACTCTTAAGCATAGAACTTACAGTTCCATCTAGCCATTTCAACTGTAAAATAATGAGACCTAGCTGTCAATCTAGTACTGCACTTAAATGCATAAAGTCTAGATACCATAGAGGAAGGTTCATGCAATAGCAATCAACAGGTGGATGACTGCCATTGCATGAAACCCTGAGTAACAGATTTGGTATTATTATATTTAGGATTTGTTGATTTTGGCATTGAGCCTATCAGTTAATTTTATATTTTAAGCTTTAGCTTTTACTCATATTATATATATATATATATATATATATATATATATATATATATATATATATATATATATATATTTCTGAGATGAGGTATTCTGTACAGTATTTACATTAGTTGGACTATTGTCCTCATCTTTGTCGCCATATTTGTCACAACGTTTGGCTGTTGTATGCTCCGCCTTCTTCAGGTGGTTGGAATTTCAACTGAACCATTTATTTCGATCACTGGGGTAGACTGTTCTAGTTCCACGTGCCATGTTTGATGGATGTCCTCAAGGACACATGGCACAGTGGATAAAGGCGTTAGTTAGATCCAGTGACAGACCCAAAGAAGGTGAGTTCAATTCCTGGTTAAGGCAGTGGAGAACTTTCAGAGGGAAAATTAGCAGGAGATAACTGATAACTGACATCCATCAAACATGGCACGTGGAACTAGAACAGTCTATCCCAGTGATCGAAATAAAGGGTTCAGTTCGAAATTCCAACCACCTGAAGAAGGCGGAGCGCATAAAATAAACGTTGTGACAAATATGGCGACAAAGATGAGGGGACAATAGTCCGACTAATGTAAATACTATATATATATTATATATATATCTCGTGTATATGTGTGATTGAAAGGAATTCAAGGCCAATGTAAAATTCACTATGTCAAGATGAACTCTTAATTGGGAAATGGTTGCATGAAAACCATGAAAGAAAAGGAAACTTGCCACAGAAATTAACCAATAAAGTAAGGGTATTAAAGATGGGATTAAAAAAAAAGTTGTAGTGTGTGCCACTTAAGTGGATTTGCAGCTGGCCTAAACCAACCTGACACGCGGGACCTAAATCCTTACAAAACTACTTTTGTCTGTGGCTTCTAGAAAAAGAATATTTCAAACATTGAGTCATAGTTAAGTACATCTTTTATGCTGGAAAGAATGAGATTAAATGACAGCTTTAAACTTTCTACCTGGATAATCCTGAACCGAAACATTTCACACATTTGTGTGCAATTCTATGAATATTGTTTGATCATTGAGAATATTCACCCGTTCTTTTAAAACGTAAATTATAAGCATATTAGCTTTCCTTAAGTTGCCAGGACAACCAAACATATTGTTTTACCGTTCTTTTTTTTATCTTCATTGGGGGTGGGGCTGTATGATCTTCATTGGGGTGGGGCTGTATGATCTTCATTGGGGTGGGGGGCTGTATGATCTTCATTGGGGGTGGGGGCTGTATGATCTTCATTGGGGGGGGGGGCTGTATGATCTTCATTGGGGGTGGGGGGCTGTATGATCTTCATTGGGGGTGGGGGGCCAGGCGATCTTCATTGGGGGTGGGGGTGTATGATCTTCATTGGGGGTGGGGCTGTATCTTCATTGGGGGTGGGGGCTGTATGATCTTCATTGGGGTGGGGGGCTGTATGATCTTCATTGGGGGTGGGGCTGTGGTCTTCATTGGGGGGGGGGCTGATCTTCATTGGGGGTGGGGGCTGTATGATCTTCACTGGGGGTGGGGCTGTATGATCTTCACTGGGGGTGGGGGGGCTGTATGATGAGGGTTGGTCAAAAATTAAGGGCTATTGTTTAATTCATCATCATCAGTCCCTTGACTGCATCAATCCTCAGGGTGGGATCTAAGAGCAGAAGAAACAGACAACCTTCTCCATGATGATCTGTTATTCAAGAGTTTTCAAGAGTTCCATTGTTGTCATGCCTGATCAACTCTTGTGTTGCCAACCCTGCTTGCGTCCACCTTCAACAGTGGTCTTGCAGAGGTTGCATACCATGTAATATGGCCAAACCATGCCATCCTCAGATGTTTAATAGTGGCAAGGCTTATGGCCATGCCATGTTGAAACACCAGTTCTCATGCAATCAGTGAAGTTAAGCAACATCGAGCTTGGTCAGTACCTAGATGGGTGACTGTTTGGGAATACTAGGTGGTCTAAGCTGGGAGGTGCAGATGGTGTAATGGATAACAGCTCAGAATTGAAAATTGGAGGGCTGAGTTACAATTCAATGTAAATACCCTTGGGAAGGCATGAATCCACCTGCGTATCATTAAATGATTACTATTTAAAGTGTTATGGAGTGATTTCACAGTGGAGGCTTGTATTTGTACTAAGTCGATCCTAAAATAGGTTCGATGTACAAAACGTTAGGAACTTGATATAAGAGGTATAACGCAGAGTAATCTAGTTGTGGTCGCTGATAGTTTAGTATTCGAGTAACTGTATCACTGAGCGACTCCTCGTTACTCTTACTACTCCTACTTATTATAGGTGGGACAGTCTATTAACTATAGAATAGGTGTGTTCCACTATAAAAAAGAAAAAAAAGCTATCTAAAAATATTTCCTGGCTTTAAATAACCTACAAAAGGTTGATAAGCTGTAAAAAGCAAATCAATAAATCAATAGTGGCAAGGGAGATAATCCTGTTCTCCCATGTGTCTTTAGATCTTGCTCCATATAGAGTCGTTGGTTTTGTGGAGGAGTTTTCTCAAGTATTTGTTTTTGAATGCCTGGATCCTTTTTCAAGTCTCAATTCTTTAATTACAACAATACTAGAGACCATTTTGAATGTACAGTGTTAACGCATCACATCCATAGATATGCAACTCCCTGAAGATGATTTGAAATGAAATTGAAAGTACTTGGAATAATAAAAATTATTTGAAAGAAAATTTTGGAATTTTTCTTAAATCATTTTTCTACAGTCATTTGTGAACTTGAAAGGATTAAAAACTAAAATAAGTTAACTAAACAAGGGGGTTGAATGAAAATATGCTATATATATATATATATATATATATATATATATATGAGAGAGAGAGAGAAAAACAGAGAGAGATAATATTAGTGGTAAATATACACATACATATGCAAAATATATATACATAAGTGCATACACATACATTTTTTTAATAAAAAATTCCAAGAGGATAGAATCCAGGTAGAACTCAATGTCCAGGACAGAGTAAGGATATAATAAAAAGGCTTAAACACTAATATTCCATGGAATATTAGTGTTTAAGCCTTTTTATTATAGAAAAGACACACGAGGAAGTAATAAAAGTTACTGCTTAACATACTTCAAAACCCAACCAAGGTCAAGTCAAGATCTTCTTAGTATATCTTTGGCTGTGTGTATGTTTATATTAGACTGTTAAATTGCTATATGGTTGGAAGAAGACCAAAATTTAAGTTCTCTTGTACTTTTCAAAATGTGAAAATGTTTTTTCGATACACTAGCATGAAATGTAAATTATAATTAATAGTTTAATTATTCTAACTTCAGTCACTTTTTCACCGACATGACGTGGATTCCCTCTGTCTTTTAAGAAGTTTATTCTTGCCTGGTACCTACATGAATTTAAGAATGGTAACTAGGTCTCACGGTTTTACTGTTTTTGAAATAGCTAAAAATGCAACTGCCATTTCCACCCGTGGAAGTCCCTTCCGATTTATTACTTTCCTTTGTTAATCCAGAAAAAAAAAAAAAAAAAAAAAAAAAAGAAATGAATGTTTGAAATTCTAAAAATGTTGAATTAAAAATAAATACATTAATTCTTTAGAAATTACTTTGTTTACGTTTCGGATATGAAACCAAGCAGATATGGGCTTTTGAGAATAACTGAACAACGAGATGTGCATTTCGTGAAAAGGTAAATAGAAACATTTGCTCCCTGTGTCCGAGGCATCTAAAGCACACTTGATCAGACGGTGTTTTCTTCTAAGAGTGGGCGCGCAGGTTCAAACACTGCCGGAGAGCAAAATTTCTTTATTAAGTTTGCTCGAGTGAGCAGCCAAATAGACACGATACATACTGTTAGAGAGAGAAAGAAAGAAAAAAAAATATATTGAAAAGCGAAAGAAAGAAAAAAAAATATATTGAAAAGCGAAAGAAAGAAAAAAATATATTGAAAAGCGAAAGAAAGAAAAAAAAATATATTGAAAAGCGAAAGAAAGAAAAAAAAATATATTGAAAAGCGAAAGAAAGAAAAAAAAATATATTGAAAAGCGAAAGAAAGAAAAAAAAATATATTGAAAAAAGGAAAGAAAGAAAAAAAAAAAAATATTGAAAAGGAAAGAAAGAAAAAAATATATTGAAAAGCGAAAGAAAGAAAAAAAATATATTGAAAAGGAAAGAAAAAAAAAATATATTGAAAAGAAAGAAAGAAAAAAAATATATTGAAAAGCGAAAGAAAGAAAAAAAATATATTGAAAAGCGAAAGAAAGAAAAAAAAATATATTGAAAAGCGAAAGAAAGAAAAAAAAATATATTGAAAAGCGAAAGAAAGAAAAAAAAATATATTGAAAAGCGAAAGAAAGAAAAAAAAATATATTGAAAAGGAAAGAAAGAAAAAATATATTGAAAAGGAAAGAAAGAAAAAAATATATTGAAAAGGAAAGAAAGAAAAAAAAATATTGAAAAGCGAAAGA